AAAAACTAGTGACCAGGACAAACTGCTGGGGCTCGAGAACCTTCAGTAGTCCAGCATTACTGGGTCTCCTCTAAAGAGCCAGAGCCAGTGTTGCAGATTTGACCGCAGCCCCAGACTGGAGGCACTTGTAGCCCAGGGAGCAGAACTGGAGCCTCTGTGAGGACAAAGAGCAATGGAGGTGGGGTGGGTAGCTAAAGAAAGTGAATATTGTACCCTAATAAAGACGAATTCCAGCAACAATGAGATTCTGGAGTTCATGAAGCCTATGATTGAGGAGACCAAACTGGCCACCTCCACCCTAGTCCAAGGTGGTAGTGGCCACAATGGCGCATTCCAGAGTACATTTTCACAGCATTCTCTTATTATCAGGCTACATTAGTCAGTGTGTAGGTCTAACTACAGCAGTCTAGTGACAGAACTATCTGGTATTGGTTGTAATACAGATGTTTATGCCTCTGCTTGCAAATGAGACCATGAAATTTAAATGTATTATCACAAAACATTCCATGTATTAAAAACTATCAAAAAGAGAAGGCTGAAAATCCTCCCGTTAAAGTTAGCACTCTCCTAAGGGTTATTTCAGAGGTAGCTACAACCATGTGCCTACCTGCTTACCTAAATAGGATTATTGTAAACAGATAGCTGTTTTTTTTTACTCCCTTCTGATTTTTTACTGTATTATATACACCAACAGAATGAAATCTACCCTCTAAAAAGTACATGTACTTTTCCAAGGGGTGAACACAATGTCTATTTCAGCAAAACCAACAAAAAATTTTGTGGCATCTGAAAGACTAAGAGGTTTTGTTTGGCATAAGCTTTGGTGGACTATAGCCCACGTCTTCAGAGACAACCTCCAGTAGTAACTCAGTTGAATAGTCTGGTAGGAAAAGACAGACTTAAAGCTCTCTACAGAAATTACTTATTTCGTTCTTGGCAACATACACTGAGCCCAGCAATATGTCAGAAGAGAAGACAAGTTTTGCTCACATGTAGGTTCTACATATGAGCAAGAACCTTGGAAAATCAGGGTTTTTGTTTTCAAGGAGACCTTGCATACAAGGAACAACTTCTCCCCTTCAAGCATGCCATTCTCCAGGTCAAGAAAGTGATGATGGCGTAATAGAGTTACCTACTTCCTTCTCCTATGCACGCTCTTCCAAGAAGTGGGTACTGTAAGTAAAGGCTGACACAGGTTTACAGCAAAGTAGAGCTATAGGTTAGATATGTCTCCAAGCATGTAATAGGTATGCAATAAAAAGGAATTCAGTTTTCACTTTTTAAGCCACTACTTACCACAATGGATGTCAGATCCTCACTCTCGAAGCGACTAATGGCCTGATCCAATGACTTGTACATTGCAGCTGAGATACGCTGTGTTATAAGCCTGTTTAGGTCAATTGACCTGCCTAGCAGCTGTGGAAGATAGAAGCAAAGGATAGCAAATGAAGACGAAGCTTAAAGACAGGGCAAACATGTAGGGAAGTAACTAAACTGGATCCTAGAGTCATTAGCCTTTACTGAGAAGAAGATGAGGATTTCAGTGGAAAGAACCAATCAACCTTTGCAGATTAACATGGCAAGGGGATCACTTTGCTTCCTCCTTATAGGTCAAAGAGCAGTTTTCTGAATGCAGTGGAGATCCAGGCCCTATTCTTGTGTCCAGACCATGAAAAGGTTAATCTAAATGCATGTAGAGGTGGAAAGGGATAGCTCTTCTCTCCTAGGCTGTGGTTTCCTATGTGTGGAGAGTGACAGTCTGAACAGGAGATAGTCTGCTAAATGTAAATGTTCTCCCAAGAGATCACTGTCTGCAATGGCAATTCTATGTAAATAGAAAGTGGCAACAGGGAGGGGGTCTAGATAAATCTTTTCCTGAAAAGGACTCCAATGGGTGTCAGGAACAGCTAACTGGGGTACATGAGTGTTAAAATGTAAGAATACTAGAAAAAGGGATGAAGACAGAAAAAAACACTCACACATGACAAGGGGCTATAAGCAGAACTGCAAAGAACATGAATGTGAGAAAAGTCGATGAGAAATGCCAGGTAGGCCCACTCCTTCTGCAAATACCTGGGATAAGGGCCATATGATCTCCACCACATACTACAGCACAAATGAATTCGCCATGGGCATATCTTTCACTCTCCTGGTTGATTGAGACCCTCACCCTATAGATCCTCAGACTTTGGCATATGAAAGAAATGGGTAGATCTACCCTACCTGGCTGCCTCATATAAACTCGGGGAATCATGTTAAAGTGATTAAGTTGTACCTGGACATGTCTCTGTTTGAGTAATGTTTCATAGCGATTCGATGGCGGATAAGGGATAATCACTCCATAATTTTTACATTCAGCTCGGAATCGTTTATCCAATAAGACACTGCAAGTAGAAAACATTTGTCGTTGCCTTCTCTTGATTGACTTCTTAGTGATTCAATTCTTTATTTCAACTTTTACTTAAAAAGAAATATATATATAAGAGGCTAACCCCACCCCCCCATCTCCTGGATCCTTCCAGATGTTCCCTGACTGCAGCTCCCAACATTCTTGAGTACTGGTCAAGCTGGATGGGGCTGGTAAGATTTGCGGTCCAAAACATGTGGAGGGAACCAGGTTGGGGAAGGTTGTAGTAGTTGAACATGTCTGCTGGCAGATCTTTTTTCCTTTTCTTTCTTTTCCCCACCATTTTTGGAGCTTTGTGTCCTAACCTCACCCATCAACAATACAGCATTCCCTCTTCTCTCTCGAGCCAATGTGTGGCGAATTACAAAATTCATATTACAGTAGTTTCAACCCCTCTTCCTAGTCTTCTAAGCATACATTTTCCATTCTTCGCTTCGATCTCTATTCAGTAGACACTGAATAGGCAATCATTATAATTATCATTATAATTCTACCTCCATATGCAAAACCGTCACTCCAGGCTATGTTCTTAAAAACTGTTGCAGATCATTGCAGACCTATACAATGAATGGTAACAATATCTTCCCATTTATTAGCACTGGCCATAAGATCTTCCAGTCAGAAATTAGTCCATCCTTATAAAGCTACATAGCAGCTGATGTAACACATCTGCTTGAAGACACACATTATCCAATATCCAACAGATGACTCATACCTGCCAGCCATTGCTTTATAGTAAGCAAAGATTTGGTCTGCCAGCTTGTATACAAACTGATCAAAACACAAGTTCACCTGGTAGAAGGATAAAAGAAATGTGCTTTAGAACAAAAATGCATAAGAGTAAATAACAGGGTTTATAAAATTTCTGGATCAAATTACTAACAAAGGAAACAGAAAGAAACTCACTTCAGCCTCGATTTCATCATAGAGAAATTGCTTCTTAAATTTGGTCAAAGCATAATATGCACTGTCATTGTAGAGATCCAATGGATAAAGCACATACCTGGCAAAGAATGAGACAGGTTCAGTACTCTGCAAACACTAGTCACCTCTCTGTCATTTTAGAACAACTGTTCTGTTTATTTGGTTTAACCATTTCTAAACTAGACCTTCAACTACAAGAGGAATTCCAGGGGGCTTTACTTATATTTGTATTATCGATACAATATTAAAACAACTATGAAATTAAAGATTACAGCATGGCCCACATCCAAGACAGAATGTTAAAGTCTGGCTATTGATGTAGAAATGTCGTCAACAATGGCTTTGTTGGATATACTGAATAACAATCAACTAAAAGGGGAAGAAAAATGAATTTTTTATCATTATTATGATAACCATGGCAAGTTTGATATTTCCAAAGAATTGGAAAAATAATTATCAGTTTAATATGGAGGAATGGTATAAAGAAATGTGGAATATGGCTATTCATGGTAAATTAACCCATGAAACTAAGATTAGAAAAGCAACATTGGAACCAGTCATCTCTATCTCAGAAAGCTATTCCAAAGCCAAAAAGCACCACGTAAAGGAGGCTGCCTGTTTTTAATTCAATGCACAACGAACCCCTCCTTTAGTTAGCCAATACAATTAAGCCATTGTATTAAGTTCTCTCTGCTTGCTATTTCGCGTTAAAGCCAATCTGAAGTGCAAGGAATTTAATACTAGGACATCCCACCAAAGCATTTGTATAAGAGGGAAAACGCACATGAAAGCATGAGTTAAGAAGCAAAGAAAGTAGGTTTTGTTGCAAATAGAAGGCAGAGAGAGCACATGAGAGTATCATCCAAGGCAGAGACTACTGACAGAAGCATTTCCATTAGCAGAAGTGGAGTATACATTCAATTCCCTGAAACCCTATAGCCCCTGCCACCCTAAAATCTGTTTTATAAGACTGATATATGTTCTAGAATAAAAATTTGAGCACTGGATAGGAGTTGGGTTGCTGTGGGGAGAGGTACAAATCTCCACTGTGCTAGCTGATATGCGCATTACTTCATACACATTAATGGGATTGGACAATGATAGAAAAATCATAAGGGCTACTGAAACAGAATTTCTCTACAAAACAATGCCTTAACATCTTACTTTTTGCTAACAGGGTTTTGATACTATCCTTCAGCTTAATGTTTTCTGGGCAGTTTAAAAATTAATTCCTATCTTCCTGATCCTGCATAACCTAAAAGGTCCAGAAAAGGGAAAGCAGCTTTGATAAACAAACTTGGAAAGTTTATACAGTGGTGCCCTGCTTGACGATAACCCCGTTAGATGACGAAATCACTTTTCGATGACATTTTTGTGATCGCTATAGCAATCACAAAACCCAGCTTTGATAAACAAACAAAATTGGAAAGCTTATGCAGTGGTGCCCCGCTTGACAATGACCCCGTTAGATGACGAAATCACTTTACGATGACATTTTTGCGATCACTATAGCAATCACAAAACAATGTTTCTATGGGCGATTTTTGCTTTACGTTGAATAGTTCTCTGCTTCGGGAACCGGTTTTTCGCTTGACAATGATCTTTACAGTTGATCATTGGGTTTTCAAAATGGCCTCCCGCTGTTTTCCGGACCTATTTCTGGAAGACAGCGATCGAAAATGGCTTCCCCTATGGAGGATCTTCGCTGGACGATGAGGTATTTCCCCCATTGGAACGCATTAACCGGTTTGAATGCGTTCCAATGGGTTTTTTACTTTCGCTTGACGACGATTTTGCTTTACAGCAATTTTAAGTTTTACTTTCGCTTTAACGGAATGGATTATCGTCATCAAGCAGGGCACCACTGTATGTAAAATCTCCTGTCACACAAAACTTGTGACTCACCATTTGCCCATACTGATGGCAGAGCTAGACCATGTAACTCCAAATGAACAAAAGCTATGCACCACTGTATGTAAAATGGCTGATTATCTCCTGTCACACAAAACTTGTGGCTCACCATGGCACAGCTGGACCATGTAACTCCAAATGAACAAAAGCTATCTTGTCAGAAGGCAGATATGAGGCACAAAACATTGTACCTTCTCTTCAACATTAGCCACCATTTTATATTCTGGGGTGCTGACTTTGAATAAAATGAATGCTCCTCAGGTTGTTGCCCTGAAAACATTCATGCTCATTTACAAGGCTACTAATGTCTATAGATATAATACAGTATTAATCATGCCCATAAACACAACTGAAACTCCATCATGGAAGGTTCTTTCGTTTCGAGGATATGATCTGTTAGAATCCAAGGCATAGACATCTCAATAGGAAACTGAATTCGACGGCCCATAGTCAACTCCAGAAAGAATTCTCGGAACCAAAGCTGGGACAGGTCACAGCACTGTTGGAGCGCTTCTGAAAACACATTATATTTCCCCACCACCAAGAATGAGAAAAGTTTAACACTGATGCTTCTGTCCAGAATGAAAATCTTTTCCCCCTTCCATTTTATCATGAAGTAAAAAGTTACAACATACAAAATTCAAGTATGCCTTTAAGAAAAGACAGAAGATACATTCTACTCATACATTCAGATTTTTCTTACAACAGTCAATAAAGCAATATCACAATGAATGAATGAATGAATGAATGAATGAATGAATGAATGAATGAATGAAGTTCCAAAATGAGTTAATTGAGTTACAAAAAATGCCCAGATAAATACGTACAGTCATATAAATTATGGCAAACGGAAGTGTTTGGACATGATTGTGCCATTCTTGATAGGTGACTTGTATGACGTGCACGCTCCTATCAGATCTGCCAGTGCTACTTACCACTTATGTTGAGAAGGTGAGTGAAGAAGAAGGACTGCTTGTGGAACTCTTCAATAGCCAGGACTATGGGTCCATCCAGGCTGCTCCTGAGAGTCTTTTTGGAGCCACTCTTGTCTGCAATGAGGGATTCCAGCATGGTTCTCACCATGTAAAGCTGCAAAAAGATACCCACAGCTGTCATTATATTCCTGACAAAGAACTCATAACCATAACCACTCAGAGTGAATTAATCTGTAAAGTGATGTATGTCAAAAAACAAACAAACACAAGAATAAAACATGGAGTGGGGTACAGTCATATCATTCTGCTGATGGAACTGCTTCAAAAAAGTAATTTCCCCAAACTCTGGCTATAAACCAACAGCAACATACAAAACAAAACAAAGCAAACTATAGTGTCCCTTAGTAGTGGCAGTTTTACAATAAAAATGGCGTAAAAGACATGATGGTAATGAAGCAAAACTGTTCAGAAAGTAATAAAACTTTAGTTTTAAAAAGATTGTTTTACATATACAACACATGTGTGCTCCAAGCAGGGAAGAAAGCACATACCTGTGTGCTAGAAGGCCCAACAGCTCGTCGTGGGACTTTGATGTCAAAGCCACCTTTGGGGTCCTTCTCCCCTCTCAGGCAAGGGTCATTGGGAGGCTCACGACCTCCCTCCCAATCACAAATGGTCTTTCTAATTGCTTGAAGGACACTGGGAAAAGGAAAGGAGGCTGAGTTAAATCTACCTTCCGCCATGCAGTTCACTGGATTACATTAGCTCACCCATTGTCTTTCTGCTCTGGATGGCAGTTTAACAAAACAAAATTACCTAAGGATGATATGAACAATAATTAAAATTGTAATTAACATTTCTTGGGAGTTGCCCTGTCAGTCTGCTGAAAGTCCTGTGACTTATTAGAGATTAACGCACTTAGCATAATGTAAGATTTTGCAGACTGCAGGCTACACTGTCCAATACCTGACATGATTTCTTGAGATACTTGTTGGAGAGTGAGGAGAATGAAGAGAGAAAAAAATACTTTACATGCAAATTTCTAAACATCAATTAAAAACAGGATTCATGTCAACAAGAGAAAACTAAGTATCAAACTGCTTGTCAGACTCCACAAACTCCTCTGAGAAATCTTCAAACGTGTTTGACAGAACGGACCTCAGAGAGACTTAAACATACACGAGGTAAAACAGAGACATAATGGACTATAGTATGATCCAAAAGAGGCGGCTACACCTAGTGAACATGAGTATATTGCTCGGGATCACTCGGAAGAGCAGGATATAAGTAAAAAATTGTTCTAAAAAATTCAGTAAACTTGTGTGGAGATTCTTGATGGTTTGGGTGAATTTTGTTTTGCACCTGTGACCTTTTTCTTTGTAGAGGTCTCCATGGAAATGTGACTGCAAGGCATTTGTAAAAACATACGTCATATAACCTCTCTGTGACTATTAAACACAGCCCGGTACAAACTATGTTCCACTTTGCTCCCTCCCTCCCTCTCCCTCTCTCCTTCCTGTTTTAAACTGTATACCACCAGCAAACATTCTAGGCACTTCACAACACCTCAAATCATTAAAACCACCAATACGATATACAATAACTACCATAAAATAAATAAAACCCTGTCCCTAGCTGAAAAACCTTATTTACATAGAATTAAATGAATTCCAAACAATTCAGTTGGGAATCCAGGGATTAATAAACACACAAAATCATGTGTTTTAGAAGCAGCCTTGTGAGTGAGTGTCGTAGAGGACGCCAAAAGGCTGTGGTTTAGGATAAGTTAGACTCACCTAATGAGAACATTCTTCTTCTTCCTAACAGCTTGCCTCAGTGGCTCTCTCAGGGTTACCTGAGCAAAATCCTGCAAAGCAGCATAGATAGTGTTCCTGATGGCCTGGTTGAAGACACTTTCCATGCGACCCATGAGTACTTGGAGACCTTTTATCATAGCAATCACCTGAATAATTGAAGACAAAAAGACAAAATGCATTTACATCTATTTGCCATGACACAGTAAAGAAAGTCACTACAGTGGTGCCTCGTTTAACAATGTTAACTGGTTCCCAAAAAAACATCGCTATGGGAAAACATCGTTAAGCGAAACACCACTCACTAGTTTGTTTTACTCTTGCCCATTATCATTTTGGTTTTCTTCTCTTCCAGCAGAAGCTGGACACTATCACAACTATTTTGACTTTGGATGTACCAGCTGTAATCAATGATCCTTTGTTGCATCAAAGATCACTTGATCTTCAATTTTCATTGCATCTTTTTGTTGCCAGTTATAGGAGTACAACTTGGATGAAGGACCTTGTCTGCAAACATGATTGTTGCACTGGACTTTGTCAAAGGCTTTCTTAGAGTCAATAAAGCAAGTGTACATATCAGCATCTCTCTCCAAGTACATGTAGGAAGAGTAGCATTTCCATGATTCCTAATCCTCATTTGAAGCCAAGTGTGTCTCTCCCAACTTTTCTGGGCACTTATTGTAATTTTTGCTACTTATTATCTTTATGAAAAATTTAAACAAAAAGCCAATAGAACTTATCACAACCTGAGTTTGATCTTGGACTCAGATAATTGACTTGAGGTCTACTCAACCTTCCATCCCTCTGAGGTTGGTAAATTGAGTACCCAGTTTATAGGGGGTGGGGGGAGCAATCATTAAATTGTTAAACTGCCCAGAGAGTGTTTTAAGCACTATGGGATGGTATGTAAGCAGTGCACTTTGCTTTGCTATCATTCAATGCTTCCATCGCTACATGCATTTTTGTTAATGATAATAAAGATGGGTCGCAGCTAGATTTCAGAAATAATTCGTGCTCTACAGATTCACTTGAAAGGATTCAGTAAAACATCTAATGCGTCATATTTTATTAATTTCAACATATCTGCAGAAACATCACCCAGTCTGAAAGAGTTACCATTTGCATTTCAAATTTTGGATTTCTGGATTTCTTCTCCAGTGTCACCTTGTTAGAATTAATTTCATTGATTTGGTATCTTCTTTCAAGTACTCACTGAACACTTTGATTTTACTTGTGATGTGAAGAATTATCACTGTTCATCAGACATTGTCATTTTTTTCCATGCCTCCTATCTCTTTGATTTTTGTGTATGTCAAGAATCTTCTCTAGGTTTGTATTTCTCTACATTGTTCAGATCATAACCCTTCTCCGGCTGCCCTAATTCAATTTTACATGTCCTTATATAGCTACATGAAATATTTCTATTTGATGTGGACTTTATTTTTCAATTTTGCCTCTTTTGCATCAACTATAATATTTATTCCCTCATCCATTTCATATCCTTTTTGATTTATGTATCAACTTTTGATGTTGCTGTGGGCCACATCTACCAACCCTCTATGTATCAGAGCAAGCAACATTTTAATAAACTATCTGTGTATGTGTCTTTCTGACTCTCTTCATGGATAACCTTAAAAGGATACAGTTGGATCACTTAGTTGCGCTTAGTTGCAACTTCCTTTTTGTATTTTTTTTTCTTGAATTGAGGGGGACTCCAAAGAAGACAGGACTATGCTTTCAATTTATGTCCTTGTTTTCTCTGACCTAATACTATTTTATTACTTTTTTTGTCACGGATAAAGCATCCTTGGTTCTAAATAAGTTCTTTGTTGGTGACTACTTCTTCACAAAACTGTTTCATTCATTCTCCATGTTTATTGTGTGTTCTTAGTCCATATTTTTCAGTAACATCTCTTCAGGCTCCTTCAGCTATCCTAGAATCAAAATCCACCCACTATAAAATGTAAGTGTTTCACAACAACTTTGTGTTCTTAAAAAAAAAAAAACCCTCACCTTCAGCAGCAGGTGGGGCTTATACTTGCCTGCCAAATATACTCAGGCTTGTCAGCAAATCAGTATTCCATTTGGTGGGGTGGAAAGAACACTACTTCAAAAATGCTTAGCCATATCAAGATTAAATGGCAAGATAAACCATTTACTTGATGCTCATATTATACAAAACAGATAGCATGTCTATATGGTACAGCTGATTCATACAACTTGACAATATTCATTGAAAAACCACGTTTCATGGTAAGATCCTTCTGACAATTTCCCCATCTTATTAATTCTGTATCATTTATAACCCATACTGAAGCAGAACTGATGCATGCTAAAATTATTATTTCCTGTTCCAGATCAACAAGGCAGTTTATCTTTTATAGGTAAAAGGTAAATGTTCCCCTTGACATTTTTAGTCCAGTCGTGTCAGACTCTAGGAGGCGGTGTTCATCCCGTTTTCAAGCCGTAGAGCCAGCGCTTGTCCGAAGACAGTTTCCTTTGCCACGTGGCCAGCGTGACTAGGGAACACCATTTTACCTCCCCACCGAGGTGGTACCTATTTATCTACTTGCATCTGCATGCTTTCGAACTGCTAGGTTGCCGAGGAGCTAGGACAAAGTGACGGGAGCTCACTCCGTCATGTGGATTCCATCTTACAACTGCTGGTCTTCTGTTCTGACCCTACAGCACAGGCTTCTGCGGTTTAGGCCACAGCACCACCATACCCCTGTATCTTTTATAACTACACACAAATAAGCTAAGATCAAAAGAGCTGCTTGGGCTACTATAGTGCAGTGGCCACCACTTAATACTTATGCTACTGACTACTTTGAAACCCCATTTAGTGTAAAAATGCTTAATAAGAAAAATTAGGCAAGAAAATCACACTGGCAGGCAATTGCAGTGGTGGTGGTGTTATATTGTTGATACAAGCCCTTGGAGTAAAAATCAGGTGACTAGCCAAGGGTAAAGTAAAGGAATACAGCCAGAATTTAGCCCCAAGTATTCTGTATCTTAAACACTGCCATTTCAGCCATCTTTTTAGGGAAATGTTGCTCTGAATACCACAAACCAATATAAGCACTCACCTCAACAAACGCAAACTTTTCCTCACTAGTATAATTGTACCGTGTGGCTCTCTCATACTCCTCAGCAGTGCCTGGGCAATCTTTGTTACAGAACTTATCTGTGGGATGGACTAACTTCCAAGAATACTGAGCAGAGGAAACAAAAGCAGGAATAATCTTGTCATTGATCCTGTTACTTCAAAAAATATTTTTTGGGGAAAAAATTAACTGGATCACACAGATTTCTCCACTGTATATAGGGTGTCTGCTAACTTAAGGCTTGGGTTTGTGAGCCAGTGATCAACATTTATATATGTATTTATCAGATTATAGCAAATCAGAAAGAATATAAATTCAAATATGTCTAAATTCAGGTTTATAGCCAATACATACCACTTCCATAACGTGGGCACTCCATTTGGACAGAAGCTGTAGTCCGCGTAAAGCCAGGTCAAAAAGCTCTCTGTACTCTTCATCTGACTTCTGGCTATCCAACCCTGAGCCGGTCACAACCTGGAGAACATCAGACAGCTATCTATCTGAGGGGTATGTTGCTGCAGTTGCTTAATTTATTTAATTACACCTTTATCAAATGTTACCACCACCATCTATGCACAAAAACATTTGTAAACCAAAAGGAAATTATGGCACTGAAAATAAAAGAGCCAGTGATGGGAAGCGAGAAAAGATGAGATACAATCAGAGGAAGTAAGATGCAGAGACTGCAGCAGTAAACATGACACTGTTATTACATCAGTGTCATTACTGTCACTGATGATGAAATGGCATACTTAATTTCCTATTTCAGATACTTTCTTTAAAATTGGGCAAAAAGAATTAATGAGTTTATACTGAAGAGGGGGAAAAATCCCAGATGTGATTTAAAAAAAAGGAGGATTGGGGGCTTCAAACTTAAGATTTTGTTACAAAGGACATCAATAAGCCTAATCAACACACATATATTGCCAAGGTAGATGTGCAATGGATAGAAACAGAATATACAGATTTGCATGGTTTTCCTTTCAATAAAATCTTCCAGCTGCTTCTGAACATGTACAAGAGAACAAGAATCCTTTCAAGAGTTAAACCTTCATGGTATAGAAAAGAAGGGCAAAAATCTAAGCTAGTGCCTTTGGTTTCATCCACATCATTTAGTGACAGCTACAGAGCACACACGTTCCAGACTTTAGAGATAAGTGCTTCCTCTTCTGGATCAAATGAAGGAAATCCAGTGGAAGAGCAAAGCCAGGATACCAGTTTCAAATAAACACTGGAAGTAGTGTTGAGGGCCTCGAGCAGGACTCGTGGTGGGCAGGTCTCAGACAGAGAAATGTTGGGTCCAAGCCTAGATATTCACAAAGTTAGCACTAAGAACAAACAATCTCCAAGACACTAATGCTTCCAATTCTACATACTTTTTCTCTTGAATAACCTACAGTATACCTTGCTCTTTCGTGTTGCCTGCAGCACGGTACCCATTTTCATGGTATTTCAGTTGTCAAACATACATTTCAGATCTAGGCACCCTTAGTATCATATGGTTTCCTTCATGGGGGAGGAGCTATGCTTAGTCCAGCTCCTCTGCACTGAATTTTTGAAAACTATTAGACAAATAAGAGGCAGAGTAAATCTGTGGAACTTGCCATAGAAACAAGGAATTGGGAAAAAGGAAAGTGGCAAATAAGAGAGATCTCCCAGTTTTATTCTGCAAAATAACAGAGAACATTTATTGCTTTGGACTCCTGGGATTCCAAACATCGCTTGGGTTGCCCTAGGTTCATGCCACGGTATCTCCAGCTACAAATATTACAACTGGCAAAGAGCTTTCTCTGCCTGAATGCCTGCAGAACGGCTGTCCACCAGGGTAAAGAGAACAGGATTGGGAAATGGAAAAGCTACAACACCTGCAGGACCACTCTGAGCTCTGCAATAGTGATAGTGGGATAGTGTCCAGATCCCCATTAATGTCATGGATGTTCGGAAATCACCCCTCCCTCCTCCAGTGCACATGATGAGTATCTCTTTTTTCCCTTTTCTGAATGATACAGGGAGGGAATCTGCCTTTGTTTCCATCAATGCTTACCTCGCTGTTGCTGTAGCGAGCTAGCTCAGAAATAAAGCGGATATGATCATCTCGAATCTGTACCATCTGTTCGCAGATATTGTACTGGGGACTGATGCTGCTCTGAGTACATGTCCACCTGGGTGGAAAATCAATACCTTTAAGTTAACAGCTCTTATTGTGAAGCCAAAGTGACTACTACTTGAGACAGTTTAACTTTATCATGTCACAAACATGCCATCATCCTCTGTATGTTTTTAGGTTTGCTGCTGCACTGTTACACACATTTCTCAAATTGTGTTCATGGATATAGGTTTAAGGTGATATATTATTATACAGGCAGTAATTTCGTGAGGACGACACTTTTGCCTACCTTCATTATTTACCTAAAACGTTATTATCTTGCAGACATAAGGAAAATTAAACTGAGAACAGTGTCATTGATAGCAGGCCGAATTATGGATTAATAACACATTATGGAATGCAAAATGTGAGCAGAAAACAGATCTTCAGTATCAGTTCTGTAACAAACAACTTCTCTCTCCTGAAAGCAGGAAAATAAACACTTTCTTAATATTGTTTTTCACTTCTGGGCCATATGTTCTGAACAAGAAGCAAAACAAAATTTAAAAGCCTGTACTACAAACTAAATTTATCAGGCTAGGAGGGCACCAAAGTATCTGCCACCAAGACTTGACATAAACCAAATTGCTGACTTAATTTAGACATCACACTCAACTGGTCTGTACTACTGCCAGTTTGAAACAAAAACACAGTTTGAGCTTCTAAATGTACCAAAAACAAACAAACAAACAAAAACAAACCCTTGTCCTTGCTTTGATTTTGTACTTGTTCAGTGCTAGCATTTCCATTCAGCATGGGATCTAGATCAACCACTTCATCTCTTTTTATCTCCCATCCTGAATGATATTCTCATTGCTGTGAAATTGTTGTTTGATATTTTTAATTGTATTTATTCTATTGTGTTGTGAGCCACCCAGAGTAGACACTGTCTAGATGGGTGGAATACAAGATGGATGGATGGATGGATGGATGGATGGATGGATGGATGGATGGATGGATGGATGGATGGATGGATGGATGGATGGATGGATGGATGGATGGATGGATGGATGGATGAAGGAAGGAAGGAAGGAAGGAAGGAAGGAAGGAAGGAGAAGAATTGTTGTATGGTATGTCAATTAAGACAGTACACAAATCATAATTAACCCCATCCATTTATGGTTCTAGTTGGCTAGCTGGCTGCAAATAACGATTTGTGTATTTGGCCATCACACAAAATCAAAACAACCTTTATGTGATTTTATATGATTACTGAATTTATTCCCCTTATTCTTCCATAATCATAAACTATTCACAGAGTCAACCAAAGGTACTAATATCAGATAATTACTTTATTATTCAAAATCTGGTTTCTTTATTCTTTAGTTATATGAAGACAAGGATATATATATGGGTGTGTGTGTACTCTTAACTAGCTCTTCATGGTGATTACATTGCAGTAGTTTTGTTAACTAAGCTGATTATTATGTCCAATTATATCTCTAGATGTCCCATAACCCCAGTACTTTACTCTTACCCTTTCAGTGTCCTGTTTCCCCAAACGAATCGATAGGTTAACAGAGATGATCAGACATTTTGTTGTGCTAGCCCAACCTGTCACATATAATCTAGTCCATGCACAGAGTTAAAAGGCCACACAAATATAATTAATTGCATCTCAGCACCATAATGAATAAGTAAGAGAGAGGAAATGAAAGGGAAGAGCAGGAAGGTGTAGAAACATAGGAAAATTATCATGCAGCCAGCTAATGTCCCAAATCTCTTCTCCAGGAAGGGGAGGGCTGCAGAAGGGGCCACGCTGCTCTGGTTGGAAACTGAATGAGAAAGGAACTGTTAGTAAGTGAGGACGACAAGAAGAAATATTTCACATTTTTATGGGTGAAATGGAACTGAATATACTAAAAAGGGATTAGATACACAATATTATTGAGTGGATTCCACAAATGGAAGACCGTACTAGTTTCTGTGGGGTTTTTTTTCTGGTTAAAATTCCAATACACTTTGGCAGGATAGGGTAAAGTTGAAGATGATCAGTGAAGGAAAAACATCCATGCTAGTGTGGCAAACAATCTTAGAATGTTAAATAAATAGACTTCCAAATAACACTGCTTAGCATTTCTTTACCAACTTATATTGACACCTGAGTATTTATGGGATTACTTCCTACATGAATGATTAATCCATGGACTTTACCTCCTTGAGATTTTGTCTGGATGTGTGTTTAAGCAGTAGCATGAAACAAGTGGTGCACCCTTGGTTTGTGGTCATGATCTCTTCACAAAAATGAAAAAAAAAACCCACACACAAAAAACCCAGCACCAGCTTGTGCACTGTAACAGAAGGTGTAGGGATCTGGCCCTATGAGTTGGGGGCCTTGGCACTGGAGTACTATCCCATACATATGGGGCTGAGGGATTTGGCCCTATGAGTTGGGGGCCTTGGCACTGATGGTATTAGAATTAGACCAGAACGAATCTTGGTAACACATACATTAGCAATCATTATGGTTCACACATAGGTGGCTGCTTCCAATAGAACTATGTGGAGAGTTTGCAAATGACTTCTACTCAAGAAGTGACCTATGTATTTCCTTATGTGTCTGAACTAAGCAAGGAGATCTTTAAGTAAATGCCTCATTCAACAGGGTATCTACTTAAACGGATTCTCCACAAGAGCAACTGACAGCATTCTGGAAAACCATGTTGCACATTCTCTATGGCACTGCATATCCACTTCAGTGTACCCTTTCTTAATTCCTATTTTCTTCTGAAACAGAGCATAATTTGAGACATTTCACACGTGGTTCTACTTTAAAGCCTGCAGGTCAGAGAATCTCTCCTTTATAATGTTGTCCCACCATGCTGCCCCAAGTGAAGCCTCTGTTGAACAGATAGACAAATAGTTGTGTCCATGCTCTGGAGGATTTTATATCCTGTGCAAAAATGTGGATAAAAACTTTCCAGAGCAGGCACACCTCATTCACATCCACAGCATGACACATTCATACCTGCATTCAAGATCATCATCAGCATACAAAAACAGAGAGTGGACATGCAAGTACAGACAGTGAATGGCACATTCGCTCAAGAATCTTCATAGTACGTGGTACCACACATACACATAAGCATGCTCCATATGCAGATATTTGGAAATATCCAACAATCATCTCACTCCCATTCTCACAAGCACCAATTAGCCAGTTACACAGTACATACATCCCCACAGGCATTAAAGTATTAATATTTTTGAAAAGTTTTATGTCTGTCAAAAGAGTCAGCAAGTCTGTCTAATTAGTGCCTGATTAGGGGGTGGTTGAAAAAGGCTTTGCCGGATAAGGCACGGGGAAGGAGGCAGTAAAAACTGAGTAAAACAGGCTCTGAATAGGCAGGATATAAATTTAATAAATAAATAAATAAATAAATAAATAAATAAATAAATAAATAAACAAACAAACAAACAAACAAACAAACAAACAAACAAACAAACAAAGAAAAGGTCAAGTTATAGTAAGAATGCAGGCCAGAGAATGCAGACTGACAAAGTCAAGGAGCCATATGAGCTTTGGCTGAAGGAATCAGAGTGCTTATGTCAATTCACCAGCAGAACGATTAGGTGAAATTCTGAGTAGCGAAGAAGGGCAAACATAGAAAGAGGTGGAAGCAGGCAGAAGGAAACAAGAAGATGGTAACTCAGGTCAAGATATCAGTAACATGACCAGGAAGAACACTGAGGGAATGCAGATGCTGCTTCAATGCCAGAGCTACTCATCACCTAACATCAGATGTGAAGTACAAGGCTCTTAAAGGAACAGAGTTCTGGCCTGGTCCTCACACTAATAAATCAGAGTGGCTACTTCAGCATGAGAAGAGAAGACCCTGGAAAAGACCCTGATGTTGGGAAAGTGTGAAGGAAAGAGGAGAAGGGGACGACAGAGGATGAGATGGATGGACAGTGTCATCGAATCTACCAAGATGAATTTGACCCAACTCCGGGAGGCAGTGGAAGGCAGGAGGGCCTGGTGTGCCCCGGTCCATGGGGTCACAACGACTAAATAACAACCACAATTTCAGCAAGTGGCTTGAAGTCTCCAGCTTTTGATTAGATAATTAACCTTCTATGACTAAATAACAACAATAACGTCAGCAAGTGGCTTGAAAAGAAGACTCCAGCTTTTGATTAGATAATTAACCTTCAGGTCCAGATTGCAACATCAAAGCCAGAGATATTATTTTCTCTTCCTCAGAGCAGCTTCCAAAATTAGTAGGAATTGTATTCTTCATTTGCATTAACTATATGCTTTTGAAAGTAGTATATAAAAGTCACTGGGATATAAAACCAACATCATGGTATTTTGGTGAAGAACCTGGGGGCACACATCGACCTGAAGATCACAAATACACATGTCTGGGATATGGGAGGGTCAGATCTGATCATGGACAAATTGGAAAAGGGGCCATCAAGACTGCAGGTAGGGCTTGCCCCACCAGTAAGCAGAGTGGGAAAGAACCCTTCAAAGGCAGATACTATGGGGTTGGCAACAGCAACCTCATCCTGAACTTTCCTCCTCAGTTTCCTGCCAACTTGCCCAGTGCCCACTAAAATAGTCCAGCTGCACTTGGAAATGGTGGATGATCCAATCTCATTGTCAATGTTGACGTAAGATTGACCTCCCAGCCCAGTTGGCCGCAATTCATGGAAATGAAGGTAAAAGGTAAAGGTAAAGGTTCCCCTTGACAATTTTTGTCCAGTCGTGTTCGACTCTAGGGGGCGGTGCTCATCCCCGTTTCCAAGCCATAGAGCCAGCGTTTTGTCCGAAGACAATCTTCCGTGGTCACATGGCCAGTGCGACTTAGACACGGAACGCTGTTACCTTCCCACCGAGGTGGTCCCTATTTATCTACTCGCATTTGCATGCTTTCGGACCGCTAGGTTGGCGGGAGCTGGGACAAGCAACGGGCGCTCACTCTGTTGCGTGGATTCGATCTTACAACTGCTTGGTCTTCTGACCCTGCAGCACAGGCTTCTGCGGTTTAGCCCGCAGCACCACCACGTCCCTATATGGAAATGAAAGGGAGGCATAATTCTATCCTTTGCCTCAAGCAGCAAAACATTATACGTTGACTCAGACTGTAGATTAAGCATTTTCAAAGATGAAAGTATGAAGAAGATAGAGTGACATGATTTAACTCCTTTCACTTAATTTTTCTGGGATTTTTGGGAGGCCAATATGAAAAGAGAATAGTTACATCCAGTCCATTTATTGCTGTGAGCTTAGGCACACCTCTATCAGTATAAACACGGGATGGCAGACTGTGATCATTCAAGGCACAATAAAGAAAAAGAAGTATGTGAAATGATAAATACACACACACACACACACACACACACACACACACACACACACACACCTTGCATTAAGACACTCATTCATATGGAGCTATGCCCATGGACACATGCTCACGGGTACCCATGCATAGACCTTACATACGAGAGCAGGAGAGTTGCAAGTGACTTGGCAACTTCCTCTCTTGACCAGGACACACCAAAGCCAAGAGACATTATGGCAGGCACTCACTTGGATTTGTTCTCCTCATAGTGAGCACTGGTCTTAATGTATCTGGCCAGTTCTATCTGCATATCGCCGAATAAAGGGACCACCTGCAGCTGCTGGAAGAAAAAACAAAAGATGATTTAAACAAGGCAGAGAGGTTGCCTTTGTCTGAACGAGCAATATAAGAGATGGGGGTGAGGAAACGTATTCGGCCACCAATAAGGGAGGACATCGTTCTGGAACAGTGGTCCCAACAACTCCTCATGAGCAAAGAACATCGTACATTTTCAAAATGAATGAGATAAATGAAAAGAATGTCCAAAAGCATAGCTTGTGGGCTAACTTTTAAGAAGAAAGAACATGGCGTCCTGAAGGCATGACTGGAGTTCACGAGAATCATGACTGGAGTTCTGAGAACACCAGACTAGTATGGCTACATTAGTGGTTTCTTATGGATGACTGTGGCCCAAATCCTGTTGGTGTAACTTTGTGTGGCGTAACTTAGATAGGCCACTGGAAGCATTTAATTTAAAGTAATTAAAAGCTTCCTACGACCCCCCTCTCCATTCAGGTTCCAACGTGCCCTAGTTCTCCACTTTGCCCTGGGGGAGCTTTTGGGAGCGTTGGGGCAGGGAGGAGGGCTTTCATAGTCAAAAGATTGCTAGCAGATTGCTTCCACCAGGATTAGAGCCAGCAGCAGTGTTTTTTTTGTCTTGGATTATTATTACAGGCTCCCCCTACCTCAATCCTGAGGCTCCCAAAGGCTTCTGCAGGGCAAAAGGGAACACTAGGGAGCCATGGAACCTGAACAGGGAGACCAGCGTAGGAAGGAAATAGAAATTTTTCCATTTGTTTAAACTAAAGATTTTCAGCTCCCAGTCTAGATGACACAAGCGCAATTTTTTTCCCCACTGGTATTTTACCCATTATGTTCATTCTTTTTAAAAGTAACTTTACAAGCAGTACCCTAAAAAGGAATTACTGTAATATCAGTATTTCAGGCGTTATCCCTGAATCCAAGAAGGGCTAAATAGGTGGTAGAGAGTCCCACAACTGGGAGCCTGATCATGGGAGCACGGAAAGCATGTTCAGCTGACCACACTTAGAAGCTCATTTGCAGACCCTCACGTTAAGCACACTGAAGTCTGAGAGATTTCTGGGTGGTGGTGGGACACAGCGAGGCAAGTTTATGCCCATACCCCAATTCCCACCACCTGTTTAGTCCTACATGGATTCCAGCACAATGCACAAAAACAGCTAATATGATGCACACAGTTCTTGAACTAGCAAAATTACCACAAATAACATGACTATGTGGTAGATAAATCCATGTAGGTGAGGAATAACATGACTGTCATTCTATGTGGTAGATAAATCCATGTAGGTGAGTTATTACTAAATTTATTTATTTTTATTTTGTTCTTTATTTGATTTATACCCCGCCCATCTGTTACTAAATTTATTTATTTTTATTTAGTTCTTTATTTGATTTATACCTCACCCATCTGGTCTAAAACACTGGTTCTTAACCTTGGGTTACTCAGGAGTTTTGGACTGCAACTCCCAGAAGCCTTCACCACCAGCTATCCTGACTGGGGTTTCTGGGAGTTGCAGTTCAAAAGCATCCGAGTAACAAAGGTTAAGAACCACTGGTCTAAAAGACCACTCTAGGCGGCTAAATCCAGGATAGTACTTAAAAAACTGGAATGCTCCAATGCGGTACACAGTTAACTCTCAGAAATCATGAATATGGTAACACTAGATTATAAACTGAGGTTTATGACAACTTCTGCACATGAAAGATCAGTATACCAATTCATTCATCTCGCAATACCCCAAATTATATCAGGGGTGATCAATGTTTGCATTACATGTTAATCACTCACAAGTTAAACATAATAGAGGGCAACCAACTGAAGCTGGAACTTGTAAAATGAATATACAGAAGAAATTGTTATTGTAGCAGAATTGAGACATTGGCTGAAATCCAGTAGTAAGATGCAACTAGAGTGGAACGTATGGAACTTGTATAGATGTTGACGCAACAGATCACCACTGACTTAGTGGGGCTACTCTAGTTGCATCTTATGACTGGATCCCAGGCATAAACTCTAAATTAGGGTTGTAAAATGCAGAAGGAGAGGGGCCTTGCACACATTTCACAGTAGTGCAGTACAGAGAATTTTAGTAGGTATAGTCTCTCTGACAGGTTACACAAGTAAACCTCTTTCTATTACAAAGGACAACCATGTCCTTTTCTACATTTGATCATCCTTTGTTAAACATCTGTATCTCTTTAATTTGGTAATTTATGTTGCACTTCTTGCTATAATCACCGCAGCAGTATACCATTATGTTGTAAAAACTTTTCATAGTCAGGAATACATTTCTTCACCAACAATCTCTTTTTGAGAGACTATGAAGATAATTCTGGTTTTTCATTAACTATCATGACGGCCATATCTGACTACTAATCTCAGATTATTACCAGGTTTGAGCTACCTGTAAATAGGAAAAAAGGTACCTGAAAGAGTGGAGAAAAATCTTTAATTGTTAAGTTCATTAGTAATCTTTACTTGAAATAGGAACATTTCAATAACTGGTTTGGGGCAGGTGGGATTATTGATTTTTTTCCAGTACATCATATGTCTTGGAAAAAATATTAAAAACAAATGGCTTAAACATGAATAAGCAGCAGACAGACAAAAACCCAGATTTTAAAACTGTTAACATGCACATCTGTTTTCACACAACTCTTGAAACTTTCTAGAACACTTTGGCAGGAATGAAACACACACAAAATTGACATACCTTTTATTCTGTACAACACTTTTGGACAGAAGTCAAAATGATTAAAAGAAACATCCTTGGTGATCCATGAAAGAGAAAGGTCACTTAGCAGATTCATCTTTAAATCACTGCTCTAAGAGATATTTATGGTCCAGATAGACTTTTGCCTAATATTGGAATGATCTGTGACTTATTTTACACCTTTCCTTGAAGAATGTGGCAAATTTCACTTGTATGAATCATTTGCTTCTCTAGTATATTACAGCTCCATCTCTTCATGCTCTATGTCACTGGCCTACTATAGCCTTGGAAACTAAAAATTCTGTTCTCTCAACAGCTACATGGAATAATTGGTTAGGCTTATCCCAAAGAAAATGCTCTTGTTTTCATAAAAGCATTTATCATCCAATTTGTACTGAATAGAAGAAGATGACGTAGAAGCTATGCCACAAACAGACAGCGTTAAATGCAGTATTAAATACAGACAGGAATCCAGTGGGCTTACACTGCAATCCTGATGACTTTAGACTCCTGGTGCTTCTCACTTGAGAGATGTTGTACTTTAAGATGTAGGATTATGGAAGAAAGCAGTTTCCAACTGGGAATGGAAAGAATACTCACTAATGTCTGAATTTTCACTAGCCAAATAGTATTTACAGCAGAATTTCAAAGCCCCATGTGATTTACTGTAGCTGAGATTGAGCCTAAGGCCTCTGCCACCTCAGGGTCTGTAGTATTTATCCCTCAGAGATCTCTGTAGTATTTACACAAAATATATCTAGTGTGTTTTCCCTTTAAGAAACAAAGCACAAGCACAAAACACAGGAAGATTGGACAATTGTTAAGAAATTGTTTCAGTCAAAGCAGCAGAAATTCTAATTTTGTGTAATTCTGAGAACTGCTCAAAGCCTGGGTAGCTTTTGTTTAACAAGTGGGCAATTTTGCACAAAACATCTTTCTCATTAGGACAATCTCTTGCAAGAGACAAAGGAAATTCCTCATCATTCTGGTCAGCAACAAGAAGAATGTTGCACTCCTATGTGACAAAAGAAGCAAAGATTTAAATTCCTAATATAAACCACAGAATTCATTTTAGAATTAGCTTGTGGATTCAGAAGATAGCAAGGTCCACCTGTTCACAGATACCTTAAGTGAAAAGTGTCGTTCTTTCTCTTGTTAAGGTCCTTGGGCTAAACCAATTTTAAAAAAACTATTAGCACAAGCAGAACAGGTTACTTCCTCCAGAGGAGCAGAGCCTTGTGGTGCAGTAGTTAATCTGAAGTACTGCAGCCAAAACTCTGTTCACAATCCAGGTGGCTGGCTTGAGGTTCACTCAGCCTTCCAAGGCCTGTAAACTGAGTAATCAGCTCATGGGGGACAATGTGTAGCCTGCATAATTAAATTGTAAACTGCCCAGAGAATGGTTTTAAGTGCTATGGGGTAGTATACAAGCAGCCCTTTGGGGGGGGGGGCTGTAGATAAATGTTACATTGTCAGATCAAAAGACCAACAGATGAGAATGAGACTGAAGAAATGCAATGAAGTTTCACTTCAGAACAGAGAAGCCACTTCTCGCTTTCAGTAGCTAGTGTGACACTGATGTACACACCCAGCTGTGGTACAGACTGGGGTGACCTCATGGTGTTCTGAAGCTTTCATTGTGAACTTTTACAGCAAGCTGGTTCAGGGGATAAAAATGTAAGCAGAAAAGCCAGTTCCCACAAATAAGTCAACGCCTGAAAATGTCCCAGTGCTTTTGATCTGAACATGTCATTCCTTCAGCCACTGTGTTTATTTTATCTCTAGAAGAAGTGGCCAAAGGTTTCTTTGGGAATATTTCTAAGCCAAAGCAATGGCAAAGACTGACCTTGAAGAATTTATCAATTTTACTGAGGTTGATTCTCTTCTTGGCATCTAGTTTATAAATATTACTGACATTTCCATCCATCAGGTAAAGACCAAAACCCATCACCTAGAAAAGACAAACGAGATCACTGAGAACATTTCTCTTCAAAGGAGGAGAAAACATTGTGTATGAACAAGGTTATTTCTAGAAAAATTGTAAGAAAATATTCAGTCATCAAAACTAGACACTTTTTTAAAAAAATTGGTAGCTTGTCCATTCAAACTTCCTGAAATTCACCTAAATTCACAGGAAACTGTCTTGTACTGGATTGGATTATTTATTTGTGTAACACAGTATTGTTTCTGCTGATTGACAAGAGTCATCCAGGGACTCACAAAGCGAAGTACTGCTGCCTATGATGCATTTAACTGCAGCAGCCTAGGGTTTTCTACATGCTGCCTACCAGTAACCCATGACCCTGCCATAGCTGGTCACTTCTGTTCTCTATGAGGAAAACTATGCCAGTAACTAAGTATGATGGTGCAGCTTTCATCCATCTAGTCTTTTAAAAATCTTGATAAGTATGGTTGTTACATGATCACGTAAGCAGTAACATGACAGAAGACAGAAATGAAAACTAGCATTTTTTCCTTCTTCTTCCACTTTCCTTGTAGTTAAATATGAGACAAAGAGCCTATATGAGAGACGGGACATCAAGTTGATCCTGCAGAAAATTTGATGCCACCTGGAATGTTTTCGTTTTAAGTGTCATATAACAGAAAAAAGGTCATTTCATAAACTAAATGTCATTTAACAGGTAACCTCATCTGCAAGGTAAGGGGTGCAAGAAAAGAAATGCCCAGAATCTCAAAGGCAGTCGTTTTGAAGAAAAAGAGAGGAAAAGACTGTGAGACAGAAAATACACCTTCAAGGACACTACCTTTAAGAGCATGTGCTTCTCACTGGGTGTCAGGTACATCTTGTTTTCATAGTAATCCACACAAATGTTGACAATATCAGCCAACAACTCTTCATAGCCAGGTATGACTTCTAGCTGTTGGTGCAGGCACTTAAAAAAGATAAGAAATGCGTAAGACCACTAATAATTTTAACTGAGAAAAAGAGGTTACTTACCTGTAACTCTGGTTCTTCCAGTGGTCATCTGTGAATTCACACTTCCCACCTGTCCCCTCCTCTGTCCATCATGTATGCCTTTTGCATGCTGGGCAGCAGCTGACTATTCTACAGAACTGAGGCACTCTGTGCTGGGGCAGGGTTAAAGGCAGGCGTGTGGGAGGTCCTAGTACTATGTGCTTAAGCTCTTGAATATTCCAAGGTTTCAAAAATACAGTGATGCCTTGCAGGTGGAGATGAGCTGCCACAGGGGCCAAGGACTTTGTGAACATTTGTGAGGCACTTGACAACCCAAGGGGAAGGGCCTTGATTCCGTAGGTCACTCCTTTGATAGATAATCTGAGAAAGCAGTGATGTTCCGGGCGGATGCTGATGTGAAAGTAGGCGTCCTTGAGGTCTATGACCATGAACCAATCATCTCCCCTGAGCATCTGGATGGTACCCTCGAGGGAGATCATATGGAATCGTTGAGAAGTGATAAAAGAGTTGAGGTGACAGAGGTTTAAGATGGGGCACAGACCCTCATCCTTCTTTGGGATCATGAAGTGCTGTGAATAGAAGTTACATCCGTGTTGTGAACCTGCATGATGGCATCTTTCTGAAGTAAAGAACATACGTCGTCTTCCAAAGGAGGACAGGGATTCGTGGTTTTGAGTAGTCCCATCACAGGAAGAGCATAGCCAGTGACTATGATGGTGAGGACCCAGGAGTCCGTGGTGATGCTCTGCCAGACATTGAAAAAGGGGGCGAGACGAATAGAAGAATTAACTACTGCTGGTGGTTAAAAAAGGTTCTGCCAGACCTTATGATCTAAGACGAATAGAAGAATTAACGACTGCTGGTGGGTAAAAAAGGTTCTGCCAGACCTTATGATCTGGTCAACGTGCCTGTTGTCGTGGGTGCTGCCTACCCACTGCTGGAGGAAGGATGTAGGTGGAAGACCTGAAGCCTGTGGTCTTTGCTGGTTTTGAGAGGGCCTAAAAGTGTATGGGTGGTGCCAGGCACTCTGAGGGCAATATTGCTGGCTGATGTATGATCTGGCTGTTTTCCTCAGCTTCAGCAAATTGTCTAGGATCTCGTCCATCTTCTCATCAAACAGACCAAGCCCATCAAAGGGAAGGTCCTTGATCCTCGACCTCCGAAATGCCAGCAGACCACAGTCAGACATGGCAGCACAAGATGACTTTTAGGGCTACCTGCTTAGAAGCAGCATCTACAATGTGCTGTGCCACTATATGCTCCTAATGATCCAACCCCACAGCTTCCTGGTGGCAAGAGAGGCACAGGCTTTGGATGTCCTCTGGAGCAGCCTCCAGGGCCGGAAACGCCTTGTCCACAAATTGCGATGGTAAGCCCCTAAGGCTGCTGTATGGTTGGCCACTCTCAACACAAAAGATGCCAATGAATAAACATGGCGGCCAATAATGCCCAATTTCCTTCCCTCCTTGTTATTTGCAGTTGTTGCAGAGCGGTTTCTGGCCTTGTTTTGTGTGGCATCAAAAACAAAGGAATTGGGCAATGGATGTATTTACAAGAAGTCCGTGTTTTCATTGTGCATCTTGTACAGGTTTTCCACCCTCCTGGGAATCTGATGGGCCATGGAGGGCTTGTTCCAAGACTCCCTAACAATCTCCAATGGGGATGAAATGAAACCAAGGTGAAGAGGAGGACTCTGGTCCTGAGTAATATCCTCACACACCTTGTCCACCTCCTATGACACTGGCTGATCAACCGCCAAGTCCATCACCTTCGCAATTCTCAGAATTAACTGTGAGTACGAAGAATAGTCTTCTGAGGGGGATAGAGGGTGGTTGTCTGCTACATCTGAGCCTGGCGTGGGGACATTCAGGGACAAATCCTTTTGCAAGTCAACCTCAGAGGCTGCCAAGTCGGTATCGAGGGCAACAGGGACGTGCTCCAGAGTTGTTGACAGATCGACTCGAAGGGGCACTGGCCGGTAGACTTCCGCCTTAGCATGACGGTCTTTCTGTTTTTCTGGGATGGAGGGTGGTTCTCTGCTACATCTGAGCCTGGCGTGGGGACATTCAGGGACAAATCCTTTTGCAAGTCAACCTCAGAGGCTGCCAAGTCGGTATCGAGGGCAACAGGGACGTGCTCCAGAGTTGTTGACAGATCGACTCGAAGGGGCACTGGCCGGTAGACTTCCGCCTTAGCATGACGGTCTTTCTGTTTTTCTACCCCAGGAGTTCATGGGTCTGGAGAAGGACGATACCGAAGTTCCAGCTCTACCTGAGAAGGATGGGACGGCAATGCTGGCATGTACCGAGAACTCTTTGCTTCAGGAGGAGGCAGGTAATCGTCCAGCATGGGTCTTTTCCGATATGCCCGTGGTGGAGCTCCAAGATGGTATTCCTCCTCGGATTAAGGATATCAGTCGGCATATGCCCGATACCATGGTAGCAAGGGTGACTGTGAAGGGGAATGCCATCTGTACCGATTGTAAGATGATCTGTGCCAGTAATAAGGGTCGAGCTTGTATGGCCTAGAATAGTAGTGAGGATCAAGATCAAAACCTTTAGGGTCGTAATAACAAGGACGCTCGTAAAGGCATCTCCTCTGTAAGTCCTAGTGATGGTACTAGGCATCGGGTGGCACAGGGCGATACCGGTAGGCTTCAGGCTCGGTGGGAGGCTCCAAATAGTATGTCTTCTTTTTTCCTTGAAGTCTCCACCAGCACCAACTCCATGGGCGACATCGAAGTCTGCCCCGATATTGAGCCCGGATGAGAACACGGGCTAACCTGCACCAACTGTACAACCTCGGCCGAGGTATGTCCCCAGTCAGGTGACTGACTAAACTGCAGGGATGGTGTGGCCTGCAGCATTGGGGGCAGGACATTCTCGTATGCTACGACATACCAACTCCTGCCGGGATCTATCAGTTGCTGATGGCAATGGTGTGGTCTTTTCTGCTGTGTGCCCAGGCTTCTGTGCGGCTGCTGGCTGCTTCTTTTTTCTTCGGCATCGACACCAAGGGAGGCTTTAGTGTTGATACCGTAGGCATCAACCTTGAGCCGGAGGAGGAAGCATGGGGCTTCAATGCCATTTTAGGTCCTTTCAGGGCCTTAGGAGGAGGTGAAGAACCTGAGATTGGAGAACGCTCTGCAGCTTGGGCAGATTCTATGGGAGCCCTTGGAGACATGGACTTCTCCCACAAAAATAAACGGAGACGCTGAAGTCTCAACTTATGAGCCGGGTTCGTAAAGTTCTTACAAGCTGCACAGAGAGTCGGCTGGTGTTCCTCTCCTAAGCAAAACAAACAGCGGGAATGCCCATCCAAGAGGGCTATTTTGTTGGAGCAGGTTTCACACCTCTTGAAGAGGCCTGGCCATAAACAAACTCATGGCTCTCTCCCACAAACAAATAACAGTCCATTTATCTTTTTTTTTAATTCACAGGAAGATGAGTTGTCGAATGGTGCGAGTCAGAAATCCAGGAGGTCCAAGGAAAAGGTAAGATTTATTTTTTTTTTTGGAAAGAGAAATGAAAACCTCCTAACCAAGGTGCTGCTGCAGCGGCAGCAAGAAAGGAACTGAGGCACTTGGTGCCAGGGGTGGGGTTAAGGGTAGTGTATGGGAGGTCCCGGCACCATGTGCTTAAGCTCTAGAATATTCCAAGGTTTCTCTGCGCAGGCGCACTAAACCCATTAGTGTGTATTCACAGAGACCACAAAGAAGAACAAAATGTTAAGTTTTGACAGATTATGAAGTTTAAGCATCTTTTTGTATAAGCAAGAAATTAATTAGGCAAGTACTGCTTTCCAGATAATCAGTTTTGTACATTTGTTGTACCTGTTCCACAGAACAAAACCTCTTCTCTTTGTGCTGCAGTCCTTTACCAAAGGTACCACATTTTCCCCATTCAGGTAACAGATTTGGTTAATGGGGAAATGTAGTTATTAGTCTGGCATGCCCATCCTTGTTGCATGGAATCTGGCTGCCTGAATGCCATAGGACCTACAGAGTCATGAACAGTTAAGCATCAGACACTAATTCCCAATCAGTTTGAAGTTCAGAAGAACCAAATATTCCATACAAAGACCAGAACCTTATTACATTAAATATCATCACCACCACCACCATCTTAGAATTGCAAAGCTGGAAGGGGCCCAACAGATCATTGGTTCCAACCCTTGTCAAAGAGGTGTAGTGCAAAAAACACAGTTTATATACTAAAGTATACCACATAGTCAAGCAACACTAACTTCGTATTCTCAAAGGCTTTCACGGCTGAGATCCAATGGTTGTTGTAGGTTTTTTCGGCTGTTTGGCTGTGTTCTGGAGGTTGTTCTTCCTAATGTTTCACCAGTCTCTGTGGCCGGCATCTTCAGAGGACAGGAGTTAAAACTCTGTGTTCTAGTGTAGTGTGTGGGATAGTTGAGTATTTGTAGCTGTGGGATCAGCTTTTTGTCTTTTTCAGGAGATTTTGAAAAATACAGCCTGCAAAAGGTCAACGAACTCCACTCAGCCACAAGCTGCACACAAAAAAACTACACCAGAGCACAGACAGAGTTCTGACTCCTGTCCTCTGAAGATGCCGGCCACAGAGACTGGCGAAACGTTAGGAAGAAAAACCTTCAGAACATGGCCAAACAGCCCAAAAAAAACCCTACTGGCCATAAGATAGGATACATAGTTGGGAGAAAAATAATCTACCTGTGTGATCCTGTTATGGTTTGCCAGGAACATGGAAAGGTTCTGCGATTCTTGAATAGACTGGGGATCAGCCATTTTCCTCAAAAATTGGGCTGCTCTGAAAGGCAATAAAAGTCCTGTCCTGTTAATGCTTCTCTGTAGCAATGTAACAGGATATAAAACAGGAATGCATTTATATTTTTGCTTCACTGTAAATACATTTTTACAGAATTATAGGTTGGAAAACCACCACTCCGTGGCTGACATTTATCAGTCTCACCTTTTGTAGGCAGAGTGATCATTTTTGACGCTGCACTTCATGTTCTTCAGCTCATCCAGGACAGCAAACATGTTGATAAACTTTCCCAGTGTCAGCAGATATGCTTCAGAAACAAAGTCCTTCCTTCTTTCTGCATGGCACAAACGCTTCACCTCACTACAGAATCGTTCAATGGCCTTTCTCTAAAAAACAGCAAATTTAGAGATAGCAAAAAAGGGGAAGAATTTAACTAGTAGTTGCTGGGAACAGCTGAACTCTAACTAGGGAGCTAGACTATGGATTCTGCCTTCTATTTGCTTCTGTGATAATTATAAAGTGTTTACAAAATTTGAATTGCTGTATAACTGTTTTAAAGTTGTTTTTATTCCTCACTGGATAAGCACTGGATATTTTATTTTTCACTTCAGATATGCAGCAGGATACAAATGGTTTTAATTAATAAATAAACAAGATCTTGGGACACATAACATCTTTTTTTTCCTTTTTCTCCGTATGTAATAACACTATCAACATATAGCAAGCAGGTGCTGAAATTAATATAGGAAATCGTTTCCCATAGTTAGAAAATCAAAATAGTAAAAATGGTGGGATAAGACATACCTACTGAGGAGACCACTTTGGTTTCAACCACTGAAAAATGTTTCAAGGAGTGGTGATTGGAAAGAATGGAAATTGCAAGTGACAATGAAAGGCCAAGAGACTGTTTCAGATAAGCATTGTGTTCTTGTTTTTCCCAGAAACTTTTAAGACAGAAATTACAGATCTCAAAATAGTCTTTAAGAAATGCTCATATATAAGTAGCCTTGTACCACATCGGAGCGGTGGGGACAGTTTCACAACCAATAAACACGTATCACAGTAGCCAGTGCACTTGACATGACACTACAACATCACTATACTATATGGTATCCCGCAGTGCTTGTTTACGTACTTCAGGCAGACCACAGTTATGATGACTTGAACTTTAAAGTACTTCTATGGTTACATTTAGCCTTGTCATTTTTAGCCATTTTATCCTCTACCTCAAAAGGCACTCTTCATCTAGGAGCCTGTCCTCTAGCTTGCTGATCTAACTACAAGTTGTGCTGTATCTTATTATCTTTGAAAACAGAAAGATACCCCAAATAATGTGCATCCAGAGTATAGACAGAAAACCTTACTCATATGAATTTGCAACTACTTGGATTTATTATGAAGGAGAGGGGCAGGCATGGTTAACAATATCAATACTCCCAAGCATTTTGTATGTGACTGACTGTGGGCTTATTTTTAAAAGGAGACTGGCATGTTTTTAACTGATTACCCCATGACTTGCTGTTCTTAGTGGGAGATGCAGTTCTGCATTATAGGTATATTGCTCTTATTGTTCTCAGAAGAACAGGAGGAAGAGAAGAGGGGAAGAGAGCATCAGGTGTACTTTCCAGTTTTTACTACCAAAACTGAAGCAGATCAACTACAAACAACATTATTGTTACATGCCATCAAGTAGTTTCCAAGTTATGGCAACTCTATCAATTTAATGACATCCAAAGCTCAGTGAATTAGATATCTGACTGCAGAGCCAGGGGCTGGGAGTTCAGTTCACATTGTACATCCCAGAAGAGCCAGCCTGTGTACCCTTAGGCAAGCTAGAATAGTTCCAGGAAGCCACCAGAAGATGGGAATGATAAACCACTTCTGAGTATTCTCTACCTAGAAAACACCAAAAAGGGTTGCCATAAGGCAGAATTGACTTGATCGCACATTGTTATTATTATTCAAAACTACCAGACACAGTCAATCAAAATTATAAAAACACGGACTGGTATTATAAAACAGATACAAGTTTTAATTAAAAAAACTAAGTATTTGTTAAGTATCAGTGCAGTTATGTATGCTGTTCCTAATATCACATTTTTGGAGCTCTTATGGTGTTATTTCTGAGATCTGTAACTGCTTATACTGCTGTGTAAAATTTCTAGATTTTGTTCCCTGTAGTTTACAAGTGAGTTGTAAAGTTGTGAGTTTTCAATTGCCCCGTCTCTGTATTTTGCTAGTTTTTCCCCCCAGTTCTTTATTTTCAGTTCTGGCATCCCCTGGAATTGCAAAGTCAATGATCCAGATATTTTTTTGTTCTATGACTACTATGCCTGGGGTGTTATGTTCAAGATAGCAATTAGTTTGGATCCAGACATCCCATAAGATCTTCACTTCATCATTTTCTGACACCTTCTCTACCTGATGTTCCTGCAGGTTTTCGGAGGCTGGCAAGTGGTTTTGCATAATGAGCAGTCCAGTAACATTGCCACTCTATCATGTCTAACTCTGTGATTTGTTTGTGCAATATATGCACAGATGAGGTGTGACACAGTTTCATCTTTTTCTTGGCAGAGTCAACATTTGTTTTTAGCATTAATTCCTTGAATATTAACTTTTATCACATTGGTTTGGAGTGCTTGTTCTTGTGTAGCAAAAATCAAGCCTTTGGTTTCTTTCTTAAGGGTCCCCAGATTTAGCCATGCCCATGTTGAATTATTATCATACTTCCTATCAATATTTCTTAGGTGTTGTCCATGTTACTTTTCCAGCTGTTTAGTTTATTTTCAAATTGTTGTTTCTTATATTGAGTCTTGGTTTCTGTTGTTTTTCAAATATTCTCCATTTTCACTACCTTAAGTAATTTTTCTTTGCTTGTATTGATATAACCATTTGGGCTTCTTTTCCCTCTACTACTACCTGCTGTATTTGCAGTAATCCACTGCCTCCAATTTACTGGAATTGCCCGTGTGTTTATGGTTTTGATTGTATTTCTACCATTTAATTCTGATTTTAAGATTTTCCAGTCTTTTGATATACAGTATTCTCTTTCTGTCAGTTCTTTAACTTTTGTGTGCAAAATTGTTATCTGCTAATAGTATTTGAATGTATTTATAATTTTCAAATGATTTATAGTGATTTTTTGCTATTTTTAAAGCTCTGTTCCATGTAGTTTTTGGATCTTTTCATGGTGTCTAGACAGAAGTGGACATTCATCCATTCCAAATTTCATTTGAACATCTTCACTAAATGCACGGTGTTTAGCAGTGATTCTATCTCTGTGCAACCTTTTGCATATAGTTTTAGGTCATCCATGCATAACTGATTATTGATTTTTTCTGGGAGTCCAAGTTTTGCATTGATAATTTTGGATGAAATTTAATAGAGATTGGAAATGTTTTATTTTTCTTGATGAACTTCTTACTTCACTCTAGCAATTTAAATGGCACCACGCCTTTGCAAAATCTCTTTGTTTTACAAACTCAACTTATGGAATCAGAAGTAAGCACCCTAAGATTCAACAGAGCTTAGTCCCAAGTCAAAAATGCATTTCACTCCAAACATATTGATCTGCTATGTGGTTGGGTGGTGTCTGTGTACATATATGTACACTATGTGCACTACTGTGATAGGCATCCACACTTCAATACAGGCAGGTTGCACAGTCTTAGAATGCCACAACATAAATCATTGAAAATTATGAAAATAATACAGATTTGACACACTCATTATATTGGAGGTAGGCACATCACAACAAGAATAAGATGAAGTGCCTTAATAGTGGCACATTCAGCTTAGAGACTAGCATAATCATGGTCAATGGGGATAATACAGAAACACAGTAAATTTACCCACCTGAAAATACATGAACTTCATGAGCTT